TTGCTTACAGAGTTTACTAACTATTGGTTATATACGTAATTTAAATTTAGAGATAACGATAAAAAAAATATATATATATTATTATATGGAAAGGAAGGTTTAAATGGGGCATGAATTGCCATAGCAAAACACCAGCTCCGTCCGATATTTAACTTAGGGTTCGATACCCTAAAAAAAAATTGCCCAACCGGTAATTTTTTAAAGACAAATTAGACAATTGTCTGCCAATTTCTAAACTCTAATTTTTGTACTCCGGTTTCAAATTATGTATGCATGTTCTTTTTACAATATGCCTGTACTGTATGTATCATTTAATTGGGCTATGTCTAATATTATATATTTCTCAGGTATATATATATATTTTTTTAATAGCTTTAATGTTGTGAAATACTGTAATACGTATATAGTTTTTGAGAAAATGTTCTTATCATTTCATCATTTTAATTTGGGTTAAAAAATTTTATAATAATACATTTAAAAGATGCTATTATTTATGTGATCATGTGATATGCCAGTTTCGTAAAAGATTTTTTGCCAACCTACTAAAGATGGTTCTTTTTTAGTTTTGTATAAATTTTCTATCAAAAAATCTTCCTTCTTTTAGTATCATCTATGAAGACTGATTTGTCTGTCTATAAAAAATTTTTATAGCCTGGGTCCTTTATTAAATTTACATATATACAAAAAAAATATTACAGTATTAATTTTTTTTTAAAAAAAAAACTTGTCGATATTATACATATTAATACTTGTTTGTTCTGCTAGTTAACCTTTTAAATATAAAAGTTCACATGGATCGAGCCACTGTAATATAATTTTGTTCTAGTGCTTGCGCTATTGTAAATGCATTCCACGCATTTATGCTTATCAAAAATGCAACTAGAATTAAAATTTTTTTTTTGAAAAATTAGCGTTAACTATTATTAAAAAAAAGTTTCTACGTAGCAATAAAAAATTATTTTTTTTTTATTATACATTATAACTTATACGTATAGATAAAATAATAATAATATTTAAACTTTGATTTAATTAAACTTTGATTTAAAATAAAAATAATATTTATACGTAAAAACAAAAAAACAAACTATTTATAGTATATTGTTTTTTTATTATTATTAATTTAGTTAAATAAGTTTTTATCGTTATACGTATAATAAATCTTTTATTTATTGCTATCTACTATTTAGTGTTTTCGATCCGTAATCCGACCAATTCGGATAGATCCGATAATTCGGATTAGATGCGGATATCTGATAAGTTCGTTTTCTTTAATTAAATCTAATAATTTTAAATTAATAAATTAAAAATATAAAGTTAGTGTGCGAATGGGAGCCATCATAACACTTATCAGTCTGCTACACTAACAAATTTTTAATGAACTATTAAATATAACAAAGAATTTTTTTTTTTATATAATTAATGACATTTTTCTGAATAAGCCTCATGAATCACGAAAAGACAGTAGTCCTACATAATCTACATAATCTTATGCTATAAAAACTTTTAACATGTATTTAATTTTATTTATTTTACAAAGTATATAATCATTTGAACCACGTTGATATCTCATAACATTCGCAACATGCTTTCAATTTTAAGATTAAATTACAATTACTGCAGTACTAGAAAAAATCTCAGCTAACAAAAGAAAATGTGAATAAATCAATTGGAGCTTGAAGACTTCTTCTTGCAGTTGATGTGGAACGGCTGACACCTGAAGGAGAATTGGGACGACTTTTAGGTTTCTCAGGTTTTTGTTTGACAACAAGAACGGAACATTCCGCATGACGTACAACGTATTCGGAAACACTTCCAAGTAAATTACTAAAGTAATTATTAAAAGTTAATTAGTAAATAAAGAATAAAATAAGAGAAAGATAGAATAAAGAAATAAGAGAAAGATAGAATAAAGAAATATTTTACCGTTTAAATAAACCAAGACCACGTGTACCAACAATAACCAAGTCTACATGCGCGTGTTCTGAAAGTTTAACCAGTTGAATTTTAGCATCACCTTTCAAAATATAAAAGTTTGAAGTTATCTAAAAATAGAAATAAAGTTAGAGAATATTTTAACAGTATTATTAAATAAAATGAGAATGATTATTCATACCCCTTTGCTCGCTAGGTCCTCGGATAACGGTTTCAAAATATCGGAAGCTTCCGAATGTTCAGTTAGTGACAAGCGCCTATTTGTTTTCCTATTTTCTGAGAGTAGAGCATGATTTATAATGAGAAAAACAGCACCTTCAAATTATAGAATTAAAAATAAAATAGTAAATACCAGCGTTTTGTGCTCTAGAGGTATGAGACAATAACCAGGTAGACTGTTCTTCGTCAACAACAGTAGCAAGAGCAACGTGGTCTTTGTTAGGAACCAAGATATTATCTAAGGCATATTGAAAGACAGCCTATGTTAAAAATGAACGAAGAAAAAAATCAGTTTAATAAAAAGATTAATAAAAATGATTAATAAAATGACAAGTTTGAAAAATAGACCAACCTTGCTATAATCAGAATTATCATAAGCTATAAGAATTTTACGTCTTAAGTGAAGTTCGAGTGGTTTTTCTGGAATTGTTATCGGCATTTTTTAAAATTTAATAAATTTAATATTCTTTAATGAAAAAAAAAACTAACGGAAAGAATTATGAGAAATTAAAATTTTATCATTATGCTGGGAAAATGAGGGGTATTTATAATTTTAAAATAGCACAAATGGAAGACAATTCCGAAGTTGGTGCAATGATAGTACGCCACATAAGTAACCTTGCAGTGTGACGATTGAGTTTTTCACACCGGTGACTGTCGATTCATCTGGAAGTTGCTTTCACGTTAAATAATAATCTAATGATGTAATAATAAATTTTAATAAAATTTAATAAAAATGATTGTGTAACCTTGCATACTTGCATAAAAATATAAATACAAGTTAAAATGTTTATAAATCATATTTACAATTCCGCATATTACTTTATTAAAAAAATAAATCAGACCATTATCGCACAATGATAATTAATAAAGATACATATGTTACCATTTGATGTATGATGCCAAGACGCATGAAGATTGTTCAACACTAATATCAGATTGATTGGAAATTTGAGATTTAGTAATTTAATTAACTAATTAACTACACAATTATCATCTACACAATTATCTATACACAATTATCTTTAACTGCTATTATGCGTCATTATGTGTTATGGTTCACCTGATTTTTTGTATCGAACAATTACAAAAGATTGGTTTATTTTTAGATTATCGATTCATCCCTCAAATATTCTTTAAATGCTCGTTCGATATACATATTATTATATATAAATATAAATTCTCTTTAAAGCATTAATTCACGGTACTAGTGTTTCGGGCGAACCCGAAATATTTCGCCCGGGAGAAATGATTTCACTGGTGAAATATTTTAAACGTCAAAAAAAAAATGCAAAATTACTATATATATTTTGTGGGTTGACCCGCTCCAATGAAATGATTTTTTATTGGCGAAATATTTCGGATTTTGAAAATTACTTTTAACCCAAAGTTCTAGTTCATAAGTCTTAATAATTACGATCAATTAAAGTGGTTCTTATAGTATGTTACGAAATGGCAATATTAAAATTTTATTCAATTGGAATAATCTCTCTTTATATGAAAATTCAATTACTTATTAAATGTTAAATGTTTTCGAATTAACATGCCCCTAAGTTTATGAGTCGGAATCCAAATATTTACTGGTAATTGCTTAATGCCGAAGTCGATGAGATCCTCCTACAGGAAATTATATATTTACATGGAATAAATTCGTGTCCTGTCAAGTGAATATCCGAAAATCAGACTTTTATTGGTAACTTTAGGGAGCTTAGGAAGCTCGTGTTAAAACGTGCTCGAGTCCATATTGTAATAACTAACTATATATGGGTTAATACGTGGTAAAAAGAGTAAATTTATAGTTATTAAATAATAAATAATAATTATAACCCAATACGTAAAACGTGTATTATGCAATTATTAGATAAACACAATGAGAAAATCTAATGATTGCATTATGGGAGATTCTTGTTTTAGGTTCTTTCGAAGCGAATGGCATGATTTTTATTAGTGAAACGTTACATTCCCATAAGTTACCTAGACAATTGATTTACATCAGCCAATCATACGAAAGTCATCTTATCTGTTATAAGATTATTCAGTCGTAAACTATGAAAACACTTTTTGCTGATTCGGCTGTTCCAGTTACCTTTGCTAGAAGTGAAGTTTTTATAGCACGTAGAAATATGTATATAAAATTAACTTTTTAACCCTTTTTTAAACTGGTTTTAGTTTAGAATTCAGAAATAAAAAAGAAGTTTATAGTCACTTTTTCTTGTGAGCTGATTCAGTAATTAATAACCGAAATTCAGAATTGAAGTTAGAGAAAAAGTTGGTAACAAGAAAAAAAACTGTCCTTATGAAAGATGAAATTGATAACTTGCCTGGGTATTATTTGGGTGAATCAGTAAAATTCAATAACAGTTAATTAAATACTGTAATAGAGTGAATTAATAAAATTTGACAATACATTCACGAGTTTGGGTTCTTGGTTCTTTCTAATTACATTTTATCAAAAATTTGCTTACAGAGTTTACTAACTATTGGTTATATACGTAATTTAAATTTAGAGATAACGATAAAAAAAATATATATAT